TATGTGAAAATCTCGATATGTTTTATTATGGAAGGAAAACTCAAACGTGCATGCGTAAAGCACACACAAAAAAAAAAAAAAGTTTGTGGCTTTGAGGTTCGTATTTTTGATCATTCCAGACTCGTCAGGACTTTGGCGATTCAGATTAAGGGTTTTTCTGGATTATAGATCATCAATTTAAATCTGGTAAGATCGCATGCAGAAATTATACAATTAAAAATATGAAACCGTAATTTATGAAATAAAGAGCAATTATGATCTAAAGAGTATCAATATTCATAAAAAAAGCTTAATATGTATTTGTTTACTTTATTAAACATTTCTTTCAATGTAAGTTGTTTAAGATGCTTCGATTTTGTGCTAATACTTTCTCTTTGAAGAGACATAATTTCTTGTTCAGTTATAAAGTTCCACTGTTCAAGTCCTGTAATTGCTTTTTTCGTTTTCAGTAACTTCTCTGTCACTTTCTTCACTATCGGTAGTGGCATTTTCTGGGTTTAGAACCATACTACAGATTTCGCCGTCCATTAATTGATTGATGATTGGGCCATTGTCGTCACAATGAAAAACTTCTGTTACATCCTCTTCATTTATTACCACTTCTCCGTATTTCTTTACAAGATCTAATAACTGGATTTCATCTTTAGTTTGCGATGTCCAAAAACCTTCAAATTCGTAGCTATCATTTTCATTGTCCTAAAATGGTAGCTGGCCATTAATTATGGCCTAAAATGGTAGCTGGCAATTTAATATTCATTGTCATGAAATATGGTAGCTGGCCATTAATTATGCCAAGCATTTTTTAACGTATCTGGAGACCCATCCTCTCACGATGTTATGATGCTCCACACAGCAGATTTTATGCTAAAAAATTTCAAAAAGCTTTGAATAGTCTTGCCATTGTTTAAGAAATTTAACATAGATTTTAAAAATGCTACTCTATATTTGCATTTCAGCGCATGCCCTATTCCCATATCCATAGGCTGAATGATAGACATACAATTTGAAGGGAAGAATAATATGGACACTAAAACTTTAAATGAAGTATGCACGGAACAGTTGTCAACAATCAGGACTATTTTTTGAGTCATCAGGTAAACCAACCGAATTCACATGTCACCAAGCCTCGGGTATAAAATGATTTTCGAACCAATCATTCATCAATGCTTGTGTCATCCATGCTCTTTTATTTGCACGATATATAACAGGGAAAATCATTAGTCCTTTAAATGCTTGAGGTCGTGCAGCTTTCCTATTATGAAAAGTTTGCACTTGTATGTTCCTGCAGCATTTGCGCACGCTAAAATTTTTAGTTCGCTTTCGAATCTTTGACACCAGTTGGAGCCTTTTCTGTAGAGGTTGCCAAGGTATTTCAAAGTACATATTGACAGAAAAAACCAGTTTAATCAGCGTTGTAAATTTATTCTGGAGATAATTGTTCACTAGTAATGGGTTCAATGAATCCGCCCAGTGCCGACTTTTGGAAACTCTTTTTGATATAATCGAAAGTTCAAGCTTAATTTTTATAAAATTGCTCTAACAGTCTGCAAAAAATAATAAGCCAGATCCAATTAGAAGATTAAGGAACAGCGCAATCTGCATAACTGAAATTCCTTAGAATCAGTAAAGATAATTTTAGCCTAGCTTATACCGTCCGTTATACATTAAACATGCATGCGTAAAGCATACGAAAAAAAAAGTTTGCGGCTTTAAGGTCCGGATTATAGAACATTCCGGATAATGGACGTCCGGATTACGGACTTTGTACCGTATAAGAAAATCTTCAAAACTGCAGATGTGTGAGCTTTGGTCCATTTTGGACATTAACATAAACACGCTTTATTATTCCAAAAATTATTTTTAACAAACAAAACTGATGTCATTGTAGATATCAAATCAAATTCATGTTAAATAATTACTTATAAAGAAAGCATATTTCAGCTCACTTTTAACGTACATAATGTACCTTATGCACATAAATGAAGAAAAACTGATAATTACATTCCATATCCACAATTAAGAAATATATTATCAGAGACAAAGTTTCAGGAATGAGAAATATGCAAAATAAGTTCTGTAAACATTGTGTAGCAAAATAAAGGTAAAAAAAAAAAACTATTTACAAGACATAAAGAAATTGGCCTTTTATACAAGACTAGCTTTACCCGAGGCTTCGCTCACGTTGATGTCCTTAAATAAGTTACAGCTCCACGTGAATTTTAAAAATACACTCCGCATAAGATTTCAGTAAATACTGCTCTTCTTCGATACCTATAGGCTGTGGATATTTTGTATTTACAACTAACCAAAGGGTTATTTTTAAAAATAAAGAACGTTCGAGTGCCTTAAAATGATAAAACAATAGTTGTTATCGCACACAGTAAAACATATAAAATGTAAATGCAATTTTTCAAGCAATAATAACAGAAATATATCAAACAAATGTATAGATCTTTAATAAATACGAAACAAAACATTAAATATATCACAAAAGTCGAAATGTTGATAATAGTTTCAAGTAAGTTAATTAGAAAAATCAAGTTATTAATTTTTAAATGATTTTCTGTGCGTAAATCCGTGAACTTTGACCTTTTCGCGAACCCAACAGTTGACCCCTTCCATCGCTTTCGAATCTCAGCCTGTGAACAAAGAGTTAACTATAGCAAGAAGAGTATTGTTTCATCTGCGATTAAGCTCAAAATAATTAAGCGACAAAAACAGTTCCACCACCAATCATTCAGAGTGCAACACAAATTTCTAAATTTCGAGAAATTTAGATAATTAGATCAAAAGTTATAATTTTCATCACCAATTTATTGGACCCACACGGGAAGACCTAAGAAAAAATCCCTAATTTCACTATTGAGTCTCATTCAAATTAGCGTTTTCAGAGTTTTTAAGAGTTTCAGAGTTTTTATACTAATATTTCAGCTGATTAAAGTCGTACAAAGATGAGAATGGTATCAATGGATTCTCACGAATTTTTGGAATTGGGGATTATGTGTCTCGAAATTCAACTAACCGCCCTTCCATAGATATTTGTGAAAAAATTAATTGGTGTGTAGCCAAATCCCTTTAACCCGTGAACATATATGCATATAATCCCTTTAACCCGTGAAAATATATGCATCAGCATCAAACATCTCGCGGCCGGGTGTGTCATATTTGAATCGCCATTTAGTTCACTCTATGGCCGGCGTACCACATTTGACTTTTTAGATAGACCATTTAATTAGTATTTTTTATTGCCACTAGATGTAGCTGTATGTCTGTTATGGTGAAATATATTGAAAGTTAAGTACCTTAATTCCTCCGCAATGTTTTATATTTTTAGTATTTTGTTTCGGAATGAGAGCGAGATTCGCGGGTGGGTGTTGAGCAATGTAATGTCAATGTATTTTTTATCGTCAGTGAAATGTATTTTTTTTTAAATGGCAAATGAAAGCAATATCTAAATGCAGAAAAATGAGTCAAATTTGCTGAGTAAAATAGAAGCAGATATTATATTCCTATGACATATGCAATGTTGGACTTTGCACACACCCATGTTTCAAAGAATATCATACACTGTCTCATTTTGAAATATTGCTTACTTTTCGTTGTTTGTTCGTTGAATTTTTATAAAAGACAGTTTTAATATTTTTAAATTTTAATTGTGTGTTGTGTTAAATAAAATCTGTGATTGTTTGGATATTTTTCTATATATATTTATTTGTGGGATAAGGGGAAAATTATATTATTCTAGAATGAGTATTTTATAAAATTCTTAAAGAAATATAATAATAAAGCTTTAAAATTAATTCTGACAACTACCTGAATATTCTTCTAATAATGTACCAAAAATTGGAACAATTGGATGAAAAATTTAATTTATACGAATTTTTTTCCAAGTTAGGCTTAGCAGCGCCCATCCCCACAAGATAACGCATCCTATTAAATAGCCGTCCCAAGACAACGCTTCGGTTGTCCCAAGACAACGCTTCGGACCGTCGTGAACTGGTTAATAGGGAAAAACTGAACAAAGTAAGTGAAAATGTAGGGGAGTTTTTAATTAATATCTCGGCTAATTAAAGTCGTACAAAAATATTTTATAGCCTATAACGTTTTCTAATATATAAAAAATATTTCTTGAAAATTTCATGATGATCGGTTAAGTAATTAAGGCGTGAAAGCGCAACAAACAAACAAGCAAACTCACATTCGCATTTATAATTTTAGTAAGGATTAAAGTAAAAAAGAGTTTTTTTTTCTGCTATCTTCATATATATTTTAGAAAAAAACTAGTCATGAGGAAAACACAGAGAAAAATCTTTTTTTTTTTTTTTTTTTTTTTTTTTTTTTTAAAAACTAATTTTTGTATATGCCACATTTTAAAAATTTTTTTAATTAAGATGGATAAACACTCTATAAACACTCACATAATAATGTGTAACAAGAGTGTTTATAGAGTAATTAGTGTTAATAGAGTAATTAAATTAAATATATTAAAACAAAACAAAAGTTACACACTGATATTTTTTGTAACACCCAGAATATTTTTCTTGCCTTTCATTTTTAAGTACAAAAATCTTAAATTAAATTTATATAAATGCTGATTTTTTCAATACATGAACAAAAATTTACTTTACTCATTAATCACATAAAAATTTCTAAACGTTTACAGTTTATCCTAAAATTTGTAAAGTCCTACTGATAAAAAGATATATAATGTTCACATTACAGAAAATTGTATCTATATAGGAAAGGGGGAAAAAGAATAATACTACCTAAATACATTAATGAAATGAAAGATAATAGAAAATTAAGCAAATTTCTTTTATCTATAGTAATTTTTAGTGTTATACTGGCTATATATATGAGAGAAATGTGAGATTTTTAGCATATTTACCTCTTTCTTATTCACACAGAGAAAATAATAATGCTGCATAACAAGGAAAATCATTATTTCAAGTTTTAGTAACTATGTTTGTCTACATTTATGACATACTTGCAAAGATTACCTTGACCAAAATAGGAATGTATGATGCATTTGCAATGTTCACCTTAAACCACACGCCTCTGATGCCATTTTTAATCCAGTCTCCGAGAGACACTAAGAAAAGGGAAAAAAATAGTTGATTAAAAAAAAATCTAACAAAACTATTTCTTCAATATATATAAAACTTCTACAAAATCATTAACTTCAATCACTGTTTTATGGTCATGATTTTGTGATCTCATTCTCATACTTCTTTATTTTGTACATTAAGAACAGTGAATTTAGAATTTATATGTTTCCTCATAATTTACAGTTTGTACAAGTGCTACATTTAATACAAGTCCAGAGTATATTCCACTAAATAATATTATTAAATAATATATTATTTCAATTAAAGTAAACCTTACTAAATGCGGAGTTGTGGAACAAAATTTCACACGCACGCTTTTTTAATTGTTCTTAACCTTAGAACACTAGAATTTCATTTATACGCAGTTCAATATAAGCAGCTGAACAACCCTAAAATTTCATTTATATGCAGCTCATTGTTCATTCTTTAACAAAGAATGTTTTCATCAGCTGTGGCCAGAAGTTATCAAAAGCTTTAAGAGATTTCCATTGATTGAAAATGAAGCCAAAAAACTGTAAAAATTGTAAAAACAACTGGTGGCAAAAGATTTGCAGGTACAGAAGAAGTAGAAGTCAGAGAACTAATCCAGAAATGATGAATAAAGAAATGAATGAAATTATAATATAATACCAGTAGACAAACTTCAGTGATAGTTTACGGTGTGCCAGCCTCAGCCACAACTGAGGGTTCGCAGCCACATATTAGTTAAAAAATAAGCACTTATAAGCAGTTTTCAAGCACATTTTAGGAAAAAAAATAAGCACCTGTCTAATTACATTATACACAACTGCATGATCTTAAAAGAAAAATTAGACTTGTAATTTAAAATATGAGAAATTCAGTATTAATTAAGAGAGAATGAGTATTACCCAACCATGGAAAACAATTACATTATTTTTTTAAATTTTAAATAACAGTTCAATTCACAGAACTAGTTTACAATAAGAGAAAACAAAATATGCAGAACTAAATCATATTACAAGATTTAATGACGAAATTTCTGTTCAAAATAGAGAAAATAAATAAAAATAAACCATATTTATTATATTCACTTGGCACCTAAAATAAGTACAATTTATTTTTCCAATCTTATTAATATTTAAATAGCTTAAATCAAAATTCTGAACATTTTCTAAATTTTCATTGTATAACAGTTTTCCTTTAACAGATATTGCAGACAAAGTAATTTAAGTGAAAATAAGTAAAAAAATCTGATGTGTACACCACATGACTTCCTTGTACGGAATATTAAATTATACGCATTTTTTCTTGCATTTCATTTAAACTTATTGGATTAAATTAAATCTACTTCGCTGACAGCGCATAAACCACAATAGAATAAATGCATTTTTTAAAATTCACTCTAGTATTTGCTTACCATAGCGACACTCTGGCGCTAGATTCACTTAACAGTATTATATTTCGTTCATATTATAACTCTTAATGCACAAAATTTATATCATTTAAAGAATAGAATTATCTAATCGTTGCCACATGTTCTATTCAAATACTATAATAAAGCTAGAATGATGTATAAAGAAATTAAGCAAAAGCAAAAAACAAAAAAGGAACAGTTTTTCACAGACGATTGAGTATTTCTCATTCCATTAATTCAGTTCTCTCTTCGCGAGAAGGCAAAAATACATAAAAATTCAGAATATCTATATTAAAAGTTACGAAGTTAATCTTTAACACTTATTTCCTCGAAAAAAATTCCAGAAAAGATTAAGCATGATTTAATTGGCAATAATAAATGAAAGCTTTATCTTTGTTGTTGCGAAGGTAAGTTTCTCTAGATTGGCAACAAATCCACTATTCTGCTGTTTCAAATGTAAACAATCAATGGCCGCCATCAAAAAAAGGCTTAGCGGCACTTAAACAACTTTAAAATTGTTGATAATTCTAAACATATTGCATACAGATTTACTAAAGGCATAAAAACCTTAACCGGAAGATAAAAACAACATAATTCAATCATTTTTAAAGCAAAAAATGTACAATTTACAAACATATAAGAGTAAAGAAACTGAGATCACTGAGCCGGGTAACAGAGTGGATATATATATAATTATATTTATATACGTTTGGTGCGGCCGATTGCAACCAAAATACGAGGTGCACATCTACATGTTATAGCAGTCCTATATACAAAATTTCAACGTTCTGAGGCTACTCGTTTTTGAGTTATGCTAGATACGTACATACGTTCATACAGAAAAAATTGCCACGAAAAATTGTCTTCAGAATTAATTTTAAAGCAGTTTTATAATTTTTTTTTGGTTGAAACGAGTCTTTTATTCTGTTCTTACGTACAGATATCACGCCATAGTTAAATTACATTCGATAGCAGTCAAAATGAATATTTTCGCTGAAATATGCTGCCTGAAACTTTTCGCGATTAAAATACTTTCTTTTTACTTCATACAAGGAAGTAAAAAGGAGCTTTTCTGAAATCAAAAGATGGGAAATTTCTTCATGCAGTCATCCTTTAACGGTAAAAGCTTAACTAAACGGCATACTCGGAAATTTCTGAATATCTGAAAATTCTGAATAGTCAAGCATAACTGGTAAAAAGTGGAAAGGGGGGGTAGGTTGTAGCCATTCTTTAGATTTTTCAGCTAAATAATGCTCTTTACATTTCGATATGTGCATCATATAAAAAATAGTCCAGTGGAACTGAAAATTAATCTGCTTAGCAAGCGCAGTAAAACTCTTTCATCTCTGCAAAATATCGCAAACGTTATTGCGAATATATGCGCCTTAATTCTTCTGCACGTGATATTACGCAATCGGAATAAACAAGCTGCCGGTATTCGGAGAATAAAAAACTAAATAGAGGAAAATGGTCCTTTGCTTCGTGTGGTTTTCACCGACATGCGCCCATGTGGCATATTTATCATTGAGCAGGACACGTCGCGCTCCGCGCGATATCGCTGCTGTACTCATATATAAAGAGATTTACCAATCTGGGGTGCTTGTCATTCTAATTTTGAACAGACTGCGTTAAATTTCCGGAATAGAATCATTCTTCGCTTGGTTTGGTACACCGCAGAACATTTAGTCCTATTCAATCCAGATGGGAAAGTGAACCCCCCAAAAAAAGTCCGTTGCTTACTTTGCTGCGAACTGTAACGGTTTCAATATTCGAGATTTTGGGGAGAACTCTGGCAAAAAAAAAGAAATTATTTTGACTATTCGATTACTTTCACTTTATTTATGCCATTCCGAATATTATTCCTTTGAAAACTAATTTGTGTTAAAACACACTTACCCATTTTTGAAGTTTATCTATACTTCAGCAGTTACTGCAAATATAATATTATAAATATTCATACATATGTTCATAATATATGAATACCGATCATAATAAACGCGAATATGAACTCACCACGCGGAACGAGAATGTAAATTATTAAAATCTTGATAGAAATTCAAACGTGTGTAGTGTTAGGTGGGAGCAAAAGAATACGGAATGTAACGGAATTTTCTACCGCTTTCGCAATTCTTTGACCAATAGAGCGACATGCACATTATGTTAATGCAGAGAAAGGGGCGGAAAGCTATTTCTGGGATTATGACTCACCATCTGACGTTCCATATAAGTAAGTAAAGTTGTTTATTTAGTTTCGGCTTTGGTACGGAGAAAAAATGTACGTTCATTATAAAAAAAAAAGCACTAAAAGCAAAAAATAAGCATTAAAAACAAAAAGTAAGTGCTTTAAAGAAAAAAATAAGCATCTATAAGGGCTTTTATATTTCATTTTCAAATATAAGGACTTATAAGCACTTGTAAGGACAACTACGAACCCTGTGACAGTATAAGTGAGGCTTTTGTGAATCTGGCGCTGTCAGTTACACAGTCTCACATAATACCAAGGACACCTGTACGTAAGTACCCAGGTGATAACAATTGGATTGTAGATATTCACAACAGCAGTTTTGACTTTGTAAAAGACCCCCCCCCCCTGTGTTTTCATTGGTTTTAGCTCATGCACATTTAGACAATTTTTCAAAGTAAAGAGGTGTTACAACTGCCAAAAACTAGGCCACATCGGCCACACTTGCAGGTCATCCCCCGCGTATGCCACCTGTGGTAAAGGTCAAGCAGTTGGCAAGTGTACTACAACTACACCTCACTGTATTAACTGTGAAGATTCAAATAAGAAACTAGGCACAACTTACGAAGTAACACACTTGGCAAGTGCAGGAATATGCCCAGCATACCAAGCAGACCTCAGTCGCCTCAGAGCAGCTTATCAACATTAAGCAAAATGCAAGGTCTTGTACACAAGAGTATACTTCAGGGTTTCTCCGTCTTACAGAGGAATCTCCAGAGATGCCAGGCTGCAACAAACAACGCAGCCCAAATTATAATGAAAAATAACTTTCCAGTGGCTCTAATGCAAGAATATTACACCGCAAATGGAAAAATTGTAGGCATGAGTTCTTTCAAAGTACTTCAGTCAACCAGTAATCTAACAGCAATAATGTACAATGATCCGCTCAGACCATTACTAATGTACAAAGGTAAATACTCAATCACCATTCAGATTTAGAGCCCTAATGGGAACATTGCTTTCACAAGTGTCTATATTCCGCCCTCACATGATATCACATTAGCTCTGACTGAACTAGAATATGTAGTTGCACTTCCAGTTCACAGCAAAATTGTTGCAGGAGACTTTAATGCCGCAAGCCTTCTTTGGGGCGCGCCAGAAGGAAACAGAAGAGCAGTGCCAGTTCTGGACTTTATAACATCCCATGGCCTGACGATAGTTAATTCAACTGACAGTCCTCCAACTTTCTAGAGCACACAGGCAGAGGGATGGCCAGATATTACACCAGCAACTACTCCCATTTACCCAAGAACAAACAATTGGAATGTCTGGAGTTATTGCCCATCATTAAGTGACCATCGTTTTATTAGATTTGACATTGACTCAGAATACCAATATGCAGTTAAAAATAGATGGAAAACAAATTATATAAATTCCCAGAAATTTGGCAGCTCTTTAGTGCCTCATGTTTCTCATTTAGCAGCAGCCTTTGAAAATGTAAGTGATAAAGAAGAGCTCGATACGGCTTACAATATGATAATAAACACATTGCAGACGGTCTGCGATAAAGTACTTAAACGGCGAAGTCACTCTATTCCAAATAAAACTCCATGATGGAATACCATGTTAGTGGCCAAACAGAGTCGAGTTTGGGCCCTTAGGTGCCGTTTTCAAGGTTGCCATGATCCAAATGAAAGAGAGACACAGGAAATGATATTCAAGAAAAACCACGCAGTCTACAAACGGAAGATTTCAAAGGCTAAACTGGAATGTTGGCAGAAATATTGTATGAACGCAACAGAAAAGTTTGGTAGACTATTCAAAGTTGCTCATGATAAGGTCTTCAAACCTACCAGTCTAGCTACGTCAATCTGTCAGAATGTGCCAACACCAGTTCCCAAACAGTGACACATACACTGAAGTGACAAAAGTCATGGGATACCTCCTAATATTTTGTCGGTCCTCCTTTTGCCCAGCGAAGTGCAGCAACTTGACGTGGCATGGACTCAACAAGTCGTTGGAAGTCCCCTGCAGGAATATTGAGCCATGCTTCCTCTATAGACGTCCATAATTGTGAAAGTGTTGACGGTGCAGGGTTTGGGGCACGAACTGACCTCTCGATGATGTCCGATAAATGTTCTATGGGATTAATGTCGGGCGATCTAGGTGGAATTATTCACTGGAAGATTATTCGCTGGAATTATCCAGAATGTTCTTCTAACCAATCGCGAACAATTGTGGCCCGGTGACATGGCGCATTGTCATCCATAAAAATCCCATCGTTGTTTGAGTACGTGAAGTCCATGAATGGCTGTAAGTGATCTCCAAGTAGCTGAATGTATCCATTTCCAGTCAATGATCGGTTCAGTTGCACCAAAGGACCGAGTCCATGCCATGTAAAAACAGGCCAGACCATTATGGTACCACCACCAGCTTGAACAGTGCCTTGTTGACAACTTGGGTCCATGGCTTCGTGGAGTCTGCACCACACTCAAAGCCTACCATCAGCTCTTACCAACTGAAATCGTGACTCATCTGACCAAGCCACGGTTTTCCATTCGTTTAGGGACCAACCGATATGCTCACGAGCCCACGAGAGTCGCTGCAGGCGATATCGTGCTGTCATCGCCTGCAGCGACACTCGAGTCGGTCTTCTGTTGGCATAGCCCAAGGAAGACAAATTTCGCCGCACTGTCCTATCGGACACGTCCCTCGTACGTCCCACATTGATTTCTGCGGTTATTTGATGCAGTGTTGCTTGTCTGTGAACATTGACAACTCTACGCAGACGTCGCTGGTCTCGGTCGTTAAGTGCAGGTGGTCGGCCACTGCGCTGTCCATGGTGGGATGTTATGCCTGAAATTAGATACTCTCGGCACACTCTTGACACTGTGGATCTCGGAATGTTGAATTCCCTAACGATATCCGAAATGGAATGACCCATGCATCTAGCTCCAACTACCATTCCGTGTTCAAAGTCTGTTAATTCTCGTCGTGCGACCTTAATCACGTCAAAGCCTCTTCACATGAATAACTTGAACACAAATGAAAGCCCTGCCAAAGCACTTCGTATTTATACATTTTCTACGCGATACTACTGCCATCTGTATATTTGCATATTGCCATCCCATGACTTTTGTCACTTCAGTGTATATGGAAACGATTTTCCAGCATGACGATCCCCATAAAGACACTAAGCGCAGAAAAGTTTGGTAGATTCGAAGTTTGGTAGAAATGTATTGGCTGGGATTCCACCCTTGCACTTGATAGTACAGAGCAAGAGAGTTGTGGTGAGAGTGATCAGACTAAAACAAGATGTTACTATTCGGATTAAGGACTTATGTATCCTCGGACTACAAGAATCACATGGCTCACTCTCCTTGCCACCCTGCAGACTTCGATACAGAAGCAAACTGTAAGCCTCCAAGTGCATTACAATCCTTAGCCGTATATGCTGATGGCTCCAAAGGAGAACTCGGGACTGGCAGTGCTTGGTGTGCAATGGAGGGTGACTACATAATCCCTTCCTGGGCTAAGAAGCTTCATCCGAGTAACTCGGTGTTTCAGGCAGCCCTAAAGGCAGCTCTGGACTTTACTGCTAACAATAGCAGGTATAAAGTAATTTACACAGACTCAATGTCAAGCTTGCAGGCCATCCAGGATGGCCGCAGCAGACATCCCATGTCAGACACCAGTCAGAGACATGCAAAAACTATTAATTTCGATTCCTGCAAGTCTGAGGCCCCAGCTAGCATTGGCGTGCCCCCTTCCTCCTCATATCTGATAACTACCCTCAAATGTGAACTAATGAAGCAGTGGCAAAACTACTGGGAGACAAGCACCACAGGCAGAAGACTGTATGATTTCCAAGCAAAAGTTAGTCACAATTTAAATAGCAGCTCTTAGCACCTCACACAGTATCTGACAGGGAATGGCCCATATATGTCTTATCTTCACAGATTTTGCCTAAGAGACAGTGACCATAGTACATTATTTGTGACAGTACTGGTGACCCAGATCACTATCTGTTTGACTGCTCACACACTTGAAATCCACATTTAAAAAGACCAACTGCAATCAATATGCAGGCATGCTTTAAGAACACAATTAAGAATAAATATGTGTTCAGCCGCATTAGAGACTGCACTACCATCGCTAAAAGCATTGCTGAGACAGCCTGGAGTGACTTCTTTCCTTGGACACTGTGCCGTCAGCAGCCCGCTCCTTACATATATTAATTTACTTAATGTCCAGAACTCATTAAATGTATTCCACAATTTGTAATGTACAGTACACTCCCGATTATCCGCGGAATTGGGTGGCGCGGCCGACGCGGATAACAAAAATCGCGGATAATCCGAAAAAAGCTAAAAACGGGTATAGCAAAAGAGAAAACAGTCCTTCCAACTTTGAAAAAATCGTTTTATGTACAATAAAACGTAAAATAAACAGCAGGAAATGTTTAGCTAACGCTTAATATTTTAGTATATCACTCAAAACTAACTTAAAATGAATTTTGTTAATGAAAACAGAAAAGTGATTTGTACTTACGAGAGGCGTCAAGGATACACAGGAAAATTAAAACATATGTACTGCTTTAATACTCTAATGTATTATGTAATTACAAAAGCATAACTGTAAAACTACACCTTTTAGAAGAAATCAGTCATTTGAGTTTGCTTCTTGCTTTGGAAGCATTTTCTCTTGATCCGAGATTGCATTTTTCGTAGCATAAGTTTCTCGGCCAATTCCGCGTCGTCTTGTTCTTCCAAATAGCTCAGCGATCCGTCGAATTGTTGCAAAGCCGCTTTGTGAGTCTTCCGCATCTGCACAGTGGGCTCTCCTTTGCCTTCACTTCGCTCTCCTATGCTCACGAGCCCACGAGAGTCGCTGCAGGCGATATCGTGCTGTCATCGCCTGCAGCGACACTCGAGTCGGTCTTCTGTTGGCATAGCCCAAGGAAGACAAATTTCGCCGCACTGTCCTATCGGACACGTCCCTCGTACGTCCCACATTGATTTCTGCGGTTATTTGATGCAGTGTTGCTTGTCTGTGAACATTGACAACTCTACGCAGACGTCGCTGGTCTCGGTCGTTAAGTGCAGGTGGTCGGCCACTGCGCTGTCCATGGTGGGATGTTATGCCTGAAATTAGATACTCTCGGCACACTCTTGACACTGTGGATCTCGGTCATTCTCAGTCTCTTCCCTCGTTTTCTTCACAATTTCGTCATCTGTCAGGCGTTCGAAGCCAAGTTCGTTGATGTCACACTCCAACCACTCGTTAATGTTTTCAGCATCGACGTTCTCACCGTCCGGAACTGTTTTCACCATATCAGCAAGAGTTGCCATGGGCGTGTCTACATCTTCATTCTCTTCTTCACAACTCAAAGGGGTTATGTTGTTGTTGGCTTCAACATTAGGCATGAGTTTTCACCATGATTTTATGAGAGTTGACAGTTTCACTGAGTCCCATGCAGATGCAACATTGTAGATGCTGTCTAAGATTGTGTAGTGTTTCCAAAACTCTTTTCAGATCATTAGCAGCTTGGTTCCGTATGTTCTCTTCATTATTGCAATGACTCTTTGGTCCATGGGTTGGATTAGGGGGTTAGTAACGTTTGGGAGAAGAAACTTTGCAAAAATTTGTCCATTAGAAGACTTTAGCAAGCTTGTTGCTGGGTGAGAAGGTGTGTTGTCGATCAATAGCAGAGCTTTTTCAGGCAGGTTTTACGATTTAAGATGTTTGCGCACTTGAAGAACAAAGATTTTTTCGAACCGTCGTGAAAAATGTTTCGGTTCATTTATCCCTTTTTTTTTTTTTTTTGGTTAAAGTAATCAACGGGCAAATTTTCTATCCTTGTGCCTTTGAAAGATCTCGTTTTTTTTTTTTTTTTTTTTTTTTTTTTTTTTTTTTTTTTTTTTTTTTTTTTTTTACTTTCTAATGACAACAAGTCTAAGTTTAAGTCCACCGGTAGTGTTAATGCAAGACATGATAGTGATCCTTTCCTTGCTGTTTTTATGACCTGCCGCTTTACTTTCACTTTCAGATGATAAAGCATGAGTGGGAAGACATTTTCACAAAAGTCCCGATTCGTCGGCACTGTAAATTTGTTCAAAAGATAGCTCTTCTTTTAAAATAAATCCTTCAAATTCATGGTGGAAATCGTCGACTGCTTGTTGGTCACTACTAAGTTTCTCCCCATGAAGTCTAATTTCTCGAATTCCATGTCACTGCTTAAAACGAGTCAACCAGCCAGAAGACGCATGAAAATTTCTTTCAGACCTAACAACTCAAAAAAGGTTTTTTTGCCTTCGCCGCATTGATAGGACCATTTACAGGCAT